TCTCTGTCATGTGGATGGAGGAGCTCAGTGACGAGAGGAGAATGTGTAGCACTGAGCTAAAACATATATATGGTGATAGTATATTATTCTGCCTTCTCCTCTCTGTCAACGCTCTCTGGTTTCATTTAAAAGAGTCGATCATCAGATATTGTCCAAGATTAACCTTCAGGGTGGATATAGCTCGCTAGCAGCCTCGCACCGATGACCTAGTTGATGTCATCATTTACCCAGAATGCTTTGCGTGTAAATAAAATGGCTCCGTCCGTGTTAAAATATATTTTAAAAAATTTACAAAACTAAACAGCCTACAGCATTTTTACGGTCTTTATTTTACAGTTAAAATAAATGTTTATCAAATAAAGTTTAATGTTACAACTACTCGTGGATCCCTTTAACACATTTTGGTAAAATCCTGGCATTAATTAATCGGGCTTTTGTTATCTGAATAAAAACAGACACCGATATGTAGAGATTTTACATTGTTATGCTAATGTCAGATCGATAACATCTGTAGGCCGATATTTATGGGACATCCATAATCATCCCCATATTTTAAAATAGTTTATTTCATTTGAAGTACAAAAAAATATAAAACAAAACAAGAACTACAACGTCAAATGAAAAGGAGCAGAAAGAAGAAAAGAATCTTATAGCATCTGCCGCCACTTAAGAGAAAAAATAAAAATCTCAAAGCACAACCAGCAAATATTCATTAATAACATGACTCACATTTTAACAACAGGGCTGAAAAATACTAAATACAACCTAAATTAATACTCAGATTTATACTAAATCTACATTTTGTTCATATTTTGACAACATTTTTTTTTATCAATCTAGCAAATATACAAATCGAAATGGCCTTTTAAAAGACACTCTCTAAATTGTTCCACACTTTGATTCCAAGCGATTACGCGATATTATTTCCCTTCCCTTCGTCTTGCAGGCACCACACCATGGCCATCAGCATCGCCGTGGATATCCTGGGATGCACGGGCAGCGTGGAGGAGCGGGCATCCACCTTAAACCGCATCATCCTCGTCGCCAGGGAGCTGAAGGACTCGATGGGCGACCTGTTCGGTTTCACGGCCCTCATGAAAGCTCTGGACATGCAGCAGGTAACGCAACTGACACGCAAACGCCACGCAACAGAYCATTTCACCGGATTTAGTTTGAGCAGGAGTTCGCTGTTGGTTCTCCAGATCACTCGCTTGGAGGAAACCTGGACGACTTTACGCAGGAACTTCACGCAAACCGCAATCAGCTACGAGAAAACGCTGAAACCTTTCTACAAGAATCTGTATGAAGCTGAAGGTAACAGAACAAACCTGACTGAAAATACGGAAATTATTATTATTTTTTTTGTAAAATATTTAATCCAGATCTTGATTTTGGACTCTCCCGCAGCCTCCTCTCCCACAGTGGTCTGCGTCCCACTCCTGGTGCCCCTCCTCACCTTGATGGAGCGTCCGTCAATCGCACCCGAGGGGGCGGAGCTCTGGGAGACCAACGATCAGGGCTGCGACATCATGCTGCGCCACCTGGAGGCCGCGCGCGACGTGGCCAACAGCGCTCAGAGCTACACGGCCAACGCACAGAAGATCCTACAGGGTAAAACCAGAAACCTAATTAGAATCACGGTTTTATTTTTTCTTATTCTAGTCAGTGGCAGAGCCAGACTTTTTCCTTAGGGGTAGCCAGACAGAGTCCAGTACTCACACAGGGGTGGCCAGGAAAATTACATAAATTTTAACTTTAAAGTTTCTGCAGATCTTTGTGTTTTGGTCATTTCTTTATGTCCTTATACAGAAAGTAGCTGCGTTTCCGTTGCAAATGTGTTGTTGATATTCTGTTAATATCAAAAAACACAGTTTCACAACTGCGGTGTTTCCATTAAGTAAGAAATGCT